CCCCCCCCCCCCCCCCCCAAGGGCGCAGGGGGGCTCCCCTATGCACGGGGCGGGGCGGGGCGGGGCGGGACGGGGGTGCCCGGTCAGACTGTCATCAAGGCCGCCCCCGCCCCGGGGAAAGCCGCGGCTGTCGCAGGTCGCGGATCGGCTCCGGGCAGACGCTGCCCCCCCCGCGGGGGAAGGCAAACCCGCTCCCCCGTGAGAAGTAGTGACAGACTCGTGGCAAGGGAGCTCAGGTCCCATCGGTCCAAGCGGGACCAGCCACAGCTTCAGGCTGCTCTTCCCAAGCGCCTGGCCTTGCGCTGCCTTCACCCTGGCGTGCAGCACAGAAGCAGTGCCCAGCACAGCAGCCCGCAAGGACGGCCCTGGGGCTCACACCCCTGCCCTCCTGGGTCCGAGGTTTGGTGGTGCAGCTAGCAGGAGGGGAGGCCTTTGCCTCTGCGACACCTGAGCAGATGCTGTCGGCGGTAGCACAGACGCCTCCCCATTGCAGCCGTTTGGGGGTGACTGGGACGGTTGGTTTGCTGGCAACAGGGTGTTTCTCTGCAGCATCTGTCATTTGGATGGTGCCCGCGTGAGGCTGGCTCAGCTGGTGTGGTTGCTGCACATGTCCGGTCCACCAGCTCCCGTGGCTTGTGACCCTGAGATTCCTCAGAGCTCCCCGTGGCTTTGCATGGGCAGCGACGGGGAGCTGCACTGCAAGCGGCTTTGCGTGCCAGCTCCCCCTGCCCAGAGATCAGAGGACAGCCTTGCCCAGCTCCTGCCCCCGCACCCAGTCCTTGGGGCCTGCTGCACAGCAGCTGAGCGCTAAGCCACCTTGCTGCGGCTGTATCAGAGGCTCGAGAGATCATCTCATCCAAGCCGTGCCTGAGGCAGGATGAGCCCTGTCCAAACCAGCCCAGACCAACCTCTGAGCAAAATGACCCCATTGCCCCTGACAGCACCAAGCTTCACACCCTATCCTGCCCCTGGGAAAGGGGGGGGGGGGCTGCAGCCACCAACATCCTGCTGCTGCAAAGAAAGTTAATAGACACCCCAGAGACCCCAAGCCAGAGCTGTGTCCCCACTGCAGAAAAAGGCAAAACCCCCAGTCTCGATCAGTCTGACCAGAGCTGGAAATCCTTTCCTGCCACCAGTGCAGCATCAGTCTGAGCCTGAGCAGAGGCAAGGCCGTCTCGCCAGGACCCTGCAGAGCTGGTCCCAGCAGGAGCACTGGCTAAGCCCAGTCCCCATCCCCAGCCTGGCTGCAGCCAGCACCTGGCGCCTCTAAAATCCTGACACATGAAGCAGCACGGAGGGGGGGCAGTTTCCTCCCGCTGCCACGTGGCAAAGCACAGCCCAGAAGCCTGGGAAATCCCCGCAGTCCAGCGCCTAGATCATCCCGCCCCAGTGTCTGTCCATCCTCTCCTTGGCCCCTTCTAGTGCTGGAGAGTCTACAGCTTCCACAGCCGCTGAACTCCACGTCAGAAATCTACTGGTTCCCATCTTCAAAAAGGGGAGGAAAGAGGACCCGGGGAACTACAGGCCAGTCGGTCTTACCTCGATCCTGGGCAAGCTGTTCGAGAAAATTATTCTGGCACACATCCAGGAGGGGCCAGCAGGGAACGGCATGCTCAGGGGCAACGAGCACAGGTTCATCAGCGGCAGGTCCTGTCAGACCAACCTGGTGGCCTTTTACGACCAGGTCACTAAATCATTGGATGCAGGGGTGGCAGTGGATATAGTTTTCCTGGACTTCAGGAAGGCTTTTGACACTGTCTCTCACCCCATTCTCATTAGGAAGCTGGGGGACTGTGGCGTAGACACCCATAC